CAGATATCATGAAAAATGCTACATCGTAGACTGCCCCAAGGCTAGAGAAAGACAACTGTGTCTTTGTAACTAGCAAACTTTGAGCTGGTTCCCAAGACACTCTTTGCTCTTGAAGAGTGTATAGTGTGGGTTTTTTTTTTTTTTGGCCTATGCAAGAATAGGGGAACAGGGGGGAGAAGTTTAGGTAAAATAAAGAAAAGAGGTGCTTGCAATTAGCAACTTACAAGTTGGTCTGATGTTTTTTCCCCTGGGTATGTGCCAAGTAGCTTCCCTATCGGATAAGAAGAAAGGATGGGTGAGATTAGTTAAATTCTAGGTCAAGCCTGGCCTCTCAAGAATAGAGCTGGGAGGGAATCAGTAAAGTCAAGCAACCTCAGGTCTCCAGCTCAGCTTTAACTCTGCACTATCAAGGGGACAATTCTGAGATAAACTTCTCCCTAAAGTGTTTTTTAAAAGGATTTTAATTAAATGGGCTATTTATTCAGACTGCTGGGTTAATTCAGCTGAACATTTTCTGTTCTTCACTGGCAGCAGTTTCCAGAGTTTCAGATGAGTCTCTTTCTTTGCCTTCTCTGGAGACGCCAGACATTGTAAAACTTTTATACGGAAAGGAAGTATTTTGCTACTCAGCTAAACGTTTTCTATAGGTAAAGAGAATGCTGACTCCATACAGTATGTTAGAAATGAGTTAACAAAACATAATTCCTGTTCACATCACATGCATTGCAAAAACAAACAAACTGAGTTAATATGACGGTCTGGTTCTTTCACTGAGCTAAGAGAATTGCTGGGTTCCCACCTGCTAAACCATCTGTAAACAATAAGGTTCCCAACCTGCTATAGACAATTGTGGGAACCCAGGCTAATATTCTAGTGCAGGGGTAGGCAACTTTGGCTCTTTTATGACTTGTGGACTTTAGCTCCCAGAATTCCTGAGCCAGCACGGCTCAGCTTGGAAACCTCTCCCTTTCCCCTCAGCATGGCTGGCTCGGGAATTCTGGAGTTGGTCTACGAGTCATAAAAGAGCCAAGATTGCCTACCCCTGGTCTAGTTCCTGTGATTCTGAGGAAGGGTTCCTTTAAAACAGACTGGAAGGAAGTTCCTTCATATCCATTCAAAGACATTATCATTTATTTGTTATACACCAAAACAAGATTCAAAGCATTTTGAACATCAATCAGCAAATGCATCCGTAACAGTTAAAATGTAAATTAAACAATTAATCAAAGTTAGGAACAATACAAGGATAAACAATATAAAGAGAGCCAGGGTTGTTTAATGGTTAAGGCACCAGACTAGAAAGTGGGAAACTGTGAATTCAAATCCTGCCTTGGCCATGAAAGCCAGATGGGTAACATTGGGCCAGTCACTCTCTCTCCGCCCAACCCACCTCACAGGGTTGCTGTTATGGAGAAAATAGGAGGAGGAAGATGTGTTGAATATTTTTGCCATGACGGGTTGTTTGCAAAAATAGTAAAGGTGGGATACAAATAAATAAAAATAATAAAGAATCACCATAGCCAAATAAAACAATGTCAATAATTAAACCAACCAGCAGGTTTTAGAATGTTAGAAAGATTCTTCCAGAAATACTTGTACTGAGATTGGGGCATTCACAATAACTTTATTGCTAAATTACACCATTTCTCAGCGGATAAAGTGCATTTGCAAAACTAAGTCCTCACCTCATTGTTGTGCAGTGTCAGACAAAGTTTGCATTCATAAGACCCCAAGTGATTTTTCATAAAATAGGGATCCTGTTGGGAAAAAAATAAGGGTTAAGTCTCAGTCAATATAGAAAGTACGTATGTACCATACGCCAGGGTGTAGACTTCACACAAACTATATATGAGACAGAACACCATAAATATTACTCTTGTCCTGGGCACAAAGCCAATCAGGCAACCTTGAGCCGGTTATTTTCTCTCAACGCTGATGACAATGGCAAACAACTTCCAAAAATTTTCCCAAGAAAACTGCAGAGACTTGTCCAGGCAGTCACCAGAAGTCAGTGCTGACTTAAAAAGCACAAAACCAAACCAAACCACTACAGATGATTTCTGGAAGTGAAGTACTTTGAACTAAAATCTAGTATCCCAACTGTGGCTTCCTTCCACATGTAATTTTTACATCCGAATTGCTATTATGGTATTTTTTAAAACAAAAATGATGCATATCCATGGAGAGATCCATACACCCAACAGATGGGTTTAATTTAATATATACTTTCATTACTAGCCCATTGCTGTCTGTTCTAATTGGTAGCTACCAATCAAAGAGAGGTCTTTCCCAAATCTGCTACCTTAGGGTGCTGCATATGGGGAATTCTGGGTGTCCCCAAAAAACCACACTTTGGATTGATGTAGTTCAGAGCAGTTTTGATGGAAAAGGGGAGGAGCCTTGAATGTTTAATGCAAAAATGCCATTCTATAGACATGAGGATTAAACTAGAGACAGGCTGTTGAAAAATGTGTTCTGTCTTAAGTAGGCCTTTCTTTATTAAGTGTACGTACTGCTTTTCCTCCAGGAGTTCATTGCGGTGTGCATCACACTTTTTCTCCTTAATTTGATCCTCCCAAACAGCTGATGAGATTGAGATGAGTGTATAGCAGAAGTCATGCAGTGGACTCTTGTGGCAGAGGATGGACCCTAACAGTTGAATGATGGTGGCTATGGACCAATAGATTAATCAGTCCTTTATTCATTATGTTATGCTTTTTATTCACCACACAACAAAAAGGTAGAAGCTCACCTTATTGATATCTATCGTTTCCAAGGCTAGTTGCCTCAACCTCTCTCTGCGGTCCCTGTTGCTTTCTGAGGCTGAGGCAACACCTCCACTCCCTGTTTTTCCACCTGGACGGTGCTGAAAATCCATGACTGAAGTCTTTGTGCTTCAAAACGCTGGGAATCAGAGACAGAGAAATTTAAGTTGGTGTACTTGAATGATGGTAAGTGAGGCTATCTATATTGTATTTTACACTGTGATCTCCCCAGAGTCAGTCTAGACTCAGGTGCTGCCTAAATGGTCTTGGTCTTAATATATCCTAAGAAAACAAGGAAAATCTGCACAAAAATTAAAATAGGTAAAATCAAATAGGTAAGCATTGTATCTCAATTGTTATAAAAAGGAATCCCTGCAGATTTCATTCTGCTAGTTGTAGTTGACTTTAGGGGATGTGCTTCAAGGCCATTCAGCCAGCACTATCCAAAGACGTTTCCACACTCATGTGGCCAGCATGATATCATGGAGCACTGATATTTCCCCCCCCCCAAAGTGGTACTATTTATCTACTCACATTTGCATGCTTTTGAACTACTAGGTTGGCAAGAGCTGGGGCAAAAACAGGAGTTTATACTGTTGCATAACACTCGGGTCTCAAACCTGGACTGTCAACCTTCTGACAAGCCCAGCATCTTACCCTGAGCCATTGTGCCACTCCTCTTGTTATAAGAAACTTTGTTTAGACAAACAGAAATAAAAATTAAAAACAAATTTTAATAACAAGGTTTCCTAATAGACTGGAATGTAGTCATCCTGAAACAAAAGCAAAATAATGATCTTTCACTAGGACACTAGTATGACATGCAAGGAGCCTTAACCTAAGTGAGAAGGCAAGTTTTTTGGTGTGGGTGACTATAATGAATCCAATTAATAATCATTATACCAAGAATAAGAGCTCAAAAGAAAAATGCTGCAACTAGCAAACTTCAATATTGTAGGAAAATGAAGTACACATTCATACACTACAATCTGTCTATATGATGACAAAACATGACCTTTCCTGTGCTTGGTGCTGCCCTAGAGGTTTGTACCATTCTCCTCTACTTCATGCTCATTCCCATTTCAACTCTTCCAGGCTAAGCTTTCATTCACCCTTGGCTACTTCTCTTCCACGGTGTGCAGGAAGATAGAAAATATTTCTCCAATGCTTTACCTTCTTCCTTCCAACCAAAACTCTGGTTTCTGCTCCATCTACAATCATCCTGCCTCCTTCCCCTGCCATGCAATCTCTCTCCTCTCTGCTCAATAGTGTACCTCCACTTTCCATTCTGCCTCCAGTGTTTCCAGTCCCATTAACTGTCATTCATTATCCGATGAACATTATTCTTTGAGGTCAACCTATTCTCCAAAGCACCTGAGGGCTGGACAAGAAGCAACGGATGGAAACTAATCAAGGAGAGAAGCAACCTAGAACTAAGGAGAAACTTCCTGACAGTTAGAACAATTAATCAGTGGAACTGTTTGCCTCCAGAAGTTGTGAGTGCTCCAATATTGGAGGTTTTCAAGAAGAGATTGGACAACCATTTGTCTGAAATGGTATATAGGGTTTCCAGCCTAAGCAGGGGGTCCCTTCCAACACTGTTATTCTGTTATTCCCCGCCTTTTGCACGATTACAAGCTTGTTCCTCTACTCCCGTGCTGGCAATGCAGGTCTTCCTTCCTCCAAGGCAGGGCATTTGCCTCTGTTGCCTCTCTTCCCACGACTGGCTGAGTTCTCGCTAAGTTTTGGGGCCTGTTTTCTCCTCCCAACAGTCCTGCTGCTCCCACTCCAGCCTCATCACCACTTAGTTATATCCTCCCGCATGTCTCTCACCCCCTGGTTTAATTCCCCATCATGGCCTCCTAGCTCTGCACTTATCTCAAAGCTGGCACTCTCTCCCCTTCTTCCTCACCTGTGCCGTTCCGACTCCCTCTCGCTTCATCGGCCGCCAAGGGACACCGAATCGCCCGAACGACCAAGTGGTTCTTCACCGCGTCGCCTTAACGTACTGGCTTTCACTTCCGGATTGGATTACCGTCGGCCCGGATATTCTCCCGGAAGTACACCAAGCGGAAGGCCGAAGAAGAGGGGAAACTTCTCAGGCGTCTGCTCTAGGAATGGAAGATCATCAGAGAGTGACCAACTTGCCGGGAGGCAGTGAGAACCGGACCCGGAAATATTACGTAAGGGTAATTCCGGTTCGTGAGAAATCCATGGCGGAAGTAAGAGTGAGAAGGCCATCGATCCGAGAGGCCGGAGGGCTGAGGGGGCGGGGCGGGGTAGGGCTGCGGTGGAAGCGATGCGGTACAACGAAAGGGAGCTGCTGTCGCTCTCCCGGCAACCGGCCGAAAAGGCGGCAGAGGTTCTCATGCGCGCCCCCAAGAAAGGAAGCGGTAAGGTGAAGGGGCAGTGACGTCACGGCGCGAAAGGGAGGGGGATGTGACGACACGAGATCGGGAAAGCTAATGCGTCATTTGAGAGCTCTGGGGAAAAGGAAGCAAACGTTCAAGCGCCTCTCTGGTGTAATTGCCCTCACTGAGGACTAGGCGCTTGAGTGGCTTTTATCAGCACTGTGGTTACTAGTCTTCAATTCCAGCTTCTGCGCAATTTTTGCCTTCCGTATTCTCTTGTTGATTTTCATGATGACTGATTCATTTACCGATTTTCCCTTTATACCTTATAAATGTATGCTGTATTTATTTTTGTCTTTTGCCTAATGCTTCTTGGCACCAAAATGTAATAAATTTATAATTAAAAGGGTTCAGCTTTAAGGTGCCACAAGCTACTGGGTAATTTTTGATAACTCTGACTGACAAACTACTTCAAGCTATTCAAGAAAGTATTTTTCAATTAGAATCTAATGGAATTAATTTAAAAATACTTGCTTGAATCAAACATATTAAAAACCCCTTCCTTAATTTGGCTGTTTTATCATAAGATTATATAACTATAAATATAAATGCACAAATCTCTATGCAGAGGTTTCTGTATTCAGAAGGCCCATCTGTCAAAACAGGGTGCTCTGCTTCGTATCTTTCCTGTAATGTTTCCGTTTCCTATTCCCTAGCACTGACCTAATATTCCCTAGTCTTGTAGCCCGCTCAGTCCTTGAGAGGGATGACTTGAGAGATTCTCCCCATCATAATGCGGCTGCCAACTCTGAGGTTTGTTTTAGGACAGTTACTTTGGCTGTTCTGATTTCAGAAGATGCTGCACTTGGAGAATTAAATTCACTGTTCACTTATTGGGTGATGTCAGCACTGTATGTGACAATTGGTAACTTGCAGTGCCACTGTGAATACTAAAGCCATTCAGTTTAAGTGAACAGTTTGGCTATTTTGCTTATTCATATGCTTGTATAAATGCAGCATTATTGCATCGGGGATTAATAAATAGACTCCTTTTTAGCACATCCTTAACCAAAGCCATACAATAACCCCTTTCCAATTCTTACGATGTCCCCCCAATTATGTTGGATTGTAATTCCTCACTCCCCCCCATCCTCTGTTGTAATCCAGTTGTATGATACACCTATTTGATTTTAATGACTTTTTAATGCCCCCTTTTTTTTTGACTCCTCCAGATTTAATCTTCTTGGTGTGAGCCTCCAGAAAGAGAATTATTAAAGTGCAGGGAAAAACTGCCCTAAGGCATTCTGAATCTACAGGACAGAATAGACTCATTTGTTATAATATCAAGTGGAACTGATTTCATTAGAGAGCTAAATATTCTTAGGGCCACTTTTGAGGATAAAAAGCTTTTTATTTACATGACATCCTTCTTCCAAGAAACTCAGGTTGACGTATTTGTCAACCAACCCACTTCTTGATATTCATCCTATAAGACAGATGAGGCCAAGAGAGGAGTACCAGATCATTTAATGAATGTTGTGACTGAGGATTAGAAGTCGGTTCTGCCAGTCATAAACTACTATTCTAACCACTCTTTGCCATTAACTGACACTGGTAGGGAGACAGAGGTATTGTGTCATATGCTGAAGCTGATAGTAGTTTAAAACAGGGGTCGTCAAACTTGGCCCTTTTATGACTTGTGCCTGGCTGAGGAATTCTGGGAATTGAAGTTCACAAGTCATAAAAGGGCCAAGTTTGAAGACCCCTGCTTTAAAAGTTGCATTTAATGTGCTACCTATGGAGCATCCTTTGATTATAACTGGTCTCGGGCAGAGCGTGGATCTGCTGGGATATGTAGATGCTGATCTGTGCTATTCCAAACTCAAGGGCTGCTTACAAGCTTCCTGCTGACAACCCAGCTATCAAACTATGGCTGCCCAGAGTCACTTGGTTGAATTGGGCAGCCATAGAAATTGAATAAATAAAGAAGAAAATAAAATAAAAGCTCTTTGTTGTGTCTGTTTTCTCTTTGCAGCCTTGAAGAAACGCCTGGTGAAGTTAGTGGTCAACTTTCTCTTTTACTTCCGAACAGACGAAGCTGAGGTAAGAGTAAACAGGTAGTCCTCGACTTACAACAGTTCATTTAGTGACCGTTCAAAGTTACAATGGCACTGAAAAATTTGGCTTATGACCGTTTTTCACACTTACAATCTTTGCAGCATCCCCATGATCATGTGATCAAAATTCAGATGCTTTGGCAACTGATTCATACTTATGACCGTTGCAGTCTTCCAGGGTCATGTGATCCTTTTTTGTGACCTTCTGACAAGCAAACCTCAATGAAAGCCAGATTCACTTAACAACCAGGTTACTAACTTATCAACTGCAGCGATCCACTTAACAACTGTGGCAAATAATGTTGTAAAATGCGAAAAACTCACTTAACAAATGTCTCACTGAACAACAGAAATGTTGGGCTCAATTGTGGTTGTAAGTCAAGGACTACCTGTAGATAGCAATTGTTCTGAAAAGTGATATGAATTGCATCTTAGTTACTCGGCCTAAGGGATTAGTACTTCTTGCAGTAGTTAGACTGATATTTTTATTGGGTGATCACTAAAAAAAATTTCCCAGTATTTGGCCATCAACTGGGATAAAGGAGTCCATGGCCCTTCAGCTATAATTGAATTGTTGGTCATGCTTTCTGAGACTAATAAAAATCAAAATATCCAATTTATCTGGAACAATAAAGTTGCCTACTCCTGTAATAAAACTAAGAGTTGGAATGTGTTTTTAAGTTCAACTTAAGCCAATTCTGAGCATTTTGTGTGTGGGGGGGAGGGGTTGTAGTGTTCTGTGGTCTGGCAGAAAATGGCAAAAAACCCCCAACCATTGGATATTATTTAATACCATGTGGTTTGCTTAATTATCACACAGGTTCACTTAATGTCCATTGTGACTTACTTTACAGACATCGTAGAAACAGTTGTAAAATTGAGTCCAATCACATGGTGCCTCAACTTACAACCATAATGACTGACGACCAAAATTTTGGGCTACATTGTATCTGTAAGTCAAGGACTACCTGTGAACATTTCCATCTTAATTGAAAAGCAGATCTGAATTTTTTTTCTTTCCCTACCCCTTTATCTCTCTTCAGCCCATTGGTGCTTTATTGTTGGAACACTGCAAGATCAGCAAAGAAGAAGAAAATGTCTTTTCCATCAGTAAGTGCTTTAGAAAGAGTTGTTAAGATGTTTGTGTCAGGAGCAAATTTTTTCCCCCTGCAAATTGGCAGCCTTTTATTTCTGACATTGAGAACATAGCAGTGTCACTGATCCATTCAGTCTAGGTTTGCTGGCTCTAACTGTCAGCTGCTTTCCCTATTTATACAGTTATTTACACACACCCATTTGTGCTATCCAGGTGATCCTGAGGGCACAGATAAACCTCCAAGTGGCATCAATGACTCTCAGAGAGAGTGCTAATGACTAGATGACTGCAAGGAATATAAATCCTTCCATCTTCCACCCTTCAGTCAGAACTGAAGAAGCTTCTTGGATGAGAAGTGAAATGTCTTCAAGGGGGAAAAAAAAGTCCAGTTGCTTTTTGAGAAAACACCTTTGGGACAAACCATGACCCAGATGACTGAGAATCTCTGTAGACCCATCTTGGTAGAATCTATGGCACACAGGTGGCACGCAGAGCCCTCTCTGTGGGCACGTGCACGGTTGCCCCAATCCTAGGCCTTCGGCTGGGTATTATAAAACCTTTTCGCTTTAGGCCTCCACTGCTGTGTGCAAAAAAAAAAAAAAAAGTTCAATCAATTTCAACTTCTCGCGGGGAAAAAAAGAGATCTTGCAAAGTTGGAATCGATTGATTGAACTTTTTAGTCCCTCCCAGTCTGCTATTACCATGCCCAGCCAATGGGCCACACCCACCAGCACCTGGTAATACATAAATGGGTTTTGGGTTGCAGTTTGGGCACTCGGTCTCTAAAAGGTTCACCATCACTGCCATAGACAGTTATTTCTACATTTTTTTTCCCAATCTCTTCCTAGTAGCGGGACTTGGGGGAGGAAGATGTGTTAAAACATTTGCTCCGTACACTCCTTTTTCAGGCAGCAGTAGAACCGCTGCTTCTCCTCTTTCCTAACTTGGGGGAAGCTGGGGAAACCTCATGTAGCTGGGTGAGAGAAAGAGAGGAAGGTCTTGAGAGTGACTAACCGGGGAACGGAACTTGGGGAGAAGACAGCTAATTTGGTGAAAACTCAACAGTCCATGATCATAATTGCAATATTGTGTAGAGTTGTGTTCATTCCAGTTTCAAAGCAGATATTTGTAGCTTGAGATCGAAACTTTCTCCATCTTTTTACTCTGGAGGAACCCTTCAAATAATTTTCAGCTCTGTGGGTACCCCTGCATAAAAAACGCAAGAAAATGGTGGTGGTGGTGGTGGGGAACTAGCACTGATGATATTACCTACTTGGGTAATGAAACGTCTGCAAAAAACCAAGCTAGGTGAGCACCAAGGACCCCACAGTTCAATCCTGAGCTACAAATATTCTCTTCTATTGACTGCAGAATATACTACATTCCTTGTGGCAAAAAAGGTCACATTTTAATTGAATTCTCTTGATATGATAATCCAGGATGTTCTTCCAATAGGTAAGGTTTTTATAGTTTTAATAAAGCAAGCTTTAGTTTGATCCTGCTTGGATTGCTGTAATTTTCTGGCAGGGTTGGTAGGTGATTAAATCATAAACCAGGAATGGCCAATTTTCCCAAGAGTAGGAACACGAGTAGCAAGGAGGTCACAGGGAAGGTGGGGCTGATTTGGGGGCGGTTTGGTGGGAGGCCTCTGATTGGAAGGGGAGAACAGAGACCTTGGGGAAAACAATGCATTTAAAGATTTTGTTGTCAAAGCCTCAAAATAAACAACAATATTGCTGAGTGTAATGGGAGTCTTTTGCCAATGTCTCAGTTGATCATGATGAGAAGACATCAGAATCCTTTGCATCTGGGCTTGAAAATCAGCATGTCCCCTAATTAGTTGGCCCATTAGCCTTTGCTCAGGTCAGTATCTGTCTTCTGGGCAAACGGTTGTCAGATTAGAGTTTTCACTACCACATGATTTAGTGGGGGCAAGTTTAGATACTGCCCTCTTCAGAGTGACTCTGTGTATGGTTTACAGATTTAAAAAAACCATAGAAAAACACAGTACACCAAGTTCAGTAAAGTAGCCAAGTAAAAACACAGATAATAATAATGATGATGATGATGTTGGAAGGGACCTTGGAGATCATCTAGTTCAACCCCCTGCTCAGGCAGGAAACCCTATACCATTTCAGACGAATGGCTGTCCAGTCTCTTTTTAAAGACTTCCAGTGTTGGAGCATTCACCGCTTCTGGAGGCAGGTTGTTCCACTGGTTAATTGTTCTAACTGTCAGGAAGTTTCTCCTTAGTTCTAGGTTGCTTCTCTCCTTGATCAGTTTCCATCCGTTGCTTCTGGTCCTCCCTTCAGGTGCTTTGGAGAATAGCTTGACTCCCTCTTCTTTGGGGCAGCCCCTGAGATATTGGAACATGGCTATCATGTCCCCCCTCGTCCTTCTTTTCATTAAACTAGACATACCCAATTCCAGAACCGTTCCTTATATGTTTTAGCCTCCAGTCTCCTAATCGTCTTTGCTGCTCTGTACTCCTTCTAGTCTCAACATTTTTTTTACAGATAAAATAAGTAAAAAAAACTAAAAGCTAATGGGAATGTTTTCAAGGTGGTAATACCCCCAGGATTGCATGCCAAGAGAATGGAGGCCAACCTCATCTCTGAAGGATGTTCCCTAGGGTAGGGGCAACAGCAGAGAAAGGTCTCTTCTTAGACCCCGACAGTTGAAATTATTTAACCAACAGGGTCCGTAACATACTTTCCCTGTTCCAGGAAAGTTGAGTTAAAGCAGTGTTTCTCAACCCTGACAATTTTAAGGCATGTGGACTTCAACTCCCAGAATTCCACAGCCAGCATTGCTGGCTGTGGAATTCTGGGAGTTGAAGTCCACATGCCTTAAAATTGTCAAGGTTGAGAAACACTGAGTTAAAGCAACAGAAGCAGTCAGGATGACTGTTTCGTGGGCTTGTTTTTCTAGGCTTCCTTGAAGAGCCAGAGAGGAAATACTACTTTGAATGTGACACAGAAGAGCAGTGCCAGGAATGGATTGAGGTCCTTCGCAAGGCCAGGTGAGGTCAACTTGTCATCTGAAGGTTGATAAATCTTATTTATTTATCTACCTATCTGTCTATCTATTTGGAGAGCACCAATTAAAGGCAAGCCGGAAGGCAGAAACAATATTATATCTGATATATTTTAATTTTTATTTGGCACCTGCAAGAGATTTAGGAACTATAACTATGTTGCCTTAAAAACATTCACCGTCACAATTATTTTTGTTAGGTATTATTGTAGATTGTGATGCTAAAGAAACTATTTAAATGTTGAATTTTATTACAGCTGCAAGGTTACTGGCTGGGCAATATTGGAGGAAAGATTCTTTGCCCACTATAGAAGAATGGTCGCTTAAAGTTTCTAATTTAGCAGAAATGGCCAAAATTTCTGCTTATTTGAAGGATCATTCACAAGAAAGATACATCTCGGTGTGGAGAAGATGGATAAATTATGTACAGAATAAATATGGGATTAGAAAGTATCATTTAGTTTTTGAATAACTTATAGTTTAAAGTAGAAATTGTTTATATTGTTATTTTTGTTTTTAATTTTTTTGAAATCTTGTATTTGAGTTAAAGTATTTTACGGATTTGGTTATTGGTATAGTTGGATAAGCTTAGAATTTGTTTGCTTATTTGTAACCCGGTAACCAGCTCTGGGAAGTGAGGGGGGGGGTTAGGGTTAGGGGGGGAGGGAGGGAGGGATATTGTATTGTAATAAAATGGAAAAATTGTATAAAACTTTTCAATAAAAAAAAACATTCACCGCCTACATTGGGGCTGCTTTGGAAAAGCCCCTTGCTTAATAAATAGGTTCATTTCTGCTGGGTGGCATTTCTTTCTTACCATCAGAGAGCAAAATGGTCTCTTCCCAACAAACAAACCTTGGATCAGTTCTTTCAGTTCTCCTCTTCTCCTTTGATCCTACAGTTACGAATTCATGAGAAGCAGCTTGATCTTTTATCGGAATGAGATCCAGAAGATGACCGGAAAGGTAAGCCAGTGGCTGCAAATGACAGTTCTTATTCCAGAGCATCCTGATTGCTAAGACTATTTAAGGCCTTTGAGATGTACACACCAGCCAGATTCAGACACTTCCCACCAAGCTGCGCTGCGAATTATTTTAATTTGGGGGGGTATGTTGTGTGAATGCAGTTCTTGTTTGTAAATCACGGTATAGAATTCTGTGGTTTGTGGGAATCCAGCCCATTATGGCTTAGCTAATAAAATTGGCTTACCTCCACTGCAAGGGTAAACTCGTGATTTGAGTGGCTTGAAATTAGTTTGTGATGCTGTTTGAGGGGGGCTTTGGAGTGCTTCCTCTTAGAATGGGTCACATAGGGCAGCTTCTTTTCTGAGGGCATTTGATAACATTTACTGGCTAGAACAGTGTTGGCTGGGGTATTCTGGGAGTTGTAGTCCACACATCTCAAAATGGCTAAGGATGGGAAACACTGGGCTAGCAGATAGCAACTGAAGCAAGACAGGGTAGACATGAATAGCTTTCTGCTCCTATTCTCATGTGAATATAGATACAATTGTATACTCACTCGGAAATGTGATTTCAAGAGACTGGGGCAGGGGTAGGCAACCTTGGCTCTTTTATGACTCGTGGACTTCAACTCCCAGAATTCCTGCTGAAGGGACAGGGAAAGGTGGCTCAGGAATTCTGGGAGTTGAAGTCCATGAGTCATAAAAGAGCCAAGGTTGCCTACCCCTGGACTGGGGGATAAATCAAGCTGAAATCTTAACAAGCATCTACTGTTTAAAGTCCTCCAAAGGCTGCATTATGATTCTCAGATGAGATACAGGAGCAAAAGGCTACATGCCGTGTTGTTCACCGCCAAGCCAGGGCATCTGCTAACTTGGAAGGAGATACAGATGAGCTCAGTGGAACATATGCCAGATGAATGTAGGTAGCTGGCAATTTTAACCAGCATAGAAGAGAACACAAACGACTTGCTAGAGCAAGCTGTCAACCTTCCACCTTCTTGCTTCTTTGGCTGCAGGATCCCTTGGAGCAATATGGCATCTCAGAGGAAGCCCGTTTCCAGCTGGGGGCACGGAAACTTTAACCCACATAAGGTGAACACAGGAACTCCCAACTGCTGAAATGTCAACAAGAGTAAATTCTCTATTTTTTTTTATGAACTGAAGGGAGGGGAAAGGGAATCTGTTTCTTAAAAAAAAAAAAAAACCATCCACACCATCCCTTCCACTGCTTTGTGATCCCAGTTTTGCTACTACCAATAGCCACAGCTGTAATGAAAAGATTATTATTGATAAGGAGGATCAGTTTTGTGGCTGGGTTAATTTTATTAGTTCTGCCTCTATTGCTATAGACACGTGTGCAGAGCAAATACGCTTGTAAAAATGAAGGGAATGGGGAAAGGGAGCTTCACATTTGGAAGGAGGCCTTGATTTTAATGCTCGTTTCAATCCTCTTTGGTAAGGCACTGAGGTTTTAGTGAAGATGGCAGAACGTGTAGTCCAGTGTTTCTCAACCTTGACAATTTTAAGGCATGTGGACTTCAACTCCCAGAATTCCACAGCCAGCATTGCTGGCTGTGGAATTCTGGGAGTTGAAGTCCACATGCCTTAAAATTGTCAAGGTTGAGAAACACTGGCTGTAGTCCATCAGCAGAGATAAATGTAATAGGTATCCTAGTTCTGCAGTGTTCACACTCCCAGATCCTCCCAAACGTCTGCCAGGGGTAGTTCCTACCATCTCCCTGCATTGAGTCTAATTAAGCATTTGACTCAGACCGGAAGAACAGAGCAGATACTGTATTTACCTGCCTGCAGGTTGGAGAGACTGTCTCTTCAGGGGTTACTGCAATCAATTATGAAGCTTACCAAGGTCAGCAATTCCTCCCAGACACAAAATGGGACAGGCAGTCTTTAACCTATTCTAGACGTGAAGTGTTTTAAGTGGGAGGCTGGCTGTTAAATGAACGCAGCAAGCACTGTGCCTCTTTGAACATAGGAGTGTCGATGTTAATCAGTGTCCACAATAGATAGGGCCAAAGCTTGCTGATCTGAAACAGGAGATCTTCAGCCTTTGATGCAGTAAACAAATCATTTGGCATCGCTGGCAGCCTTACAATCGGTAGTAATTATCTCCTGCAAGAATAAAAAGCGAACCTAGAGACTCTTTTCAATCTTCCAGGCTTGGTGTTTTAAGTTACGGGTGACAAGCGTAGTGGTTCATTGCAGCCGTGAAGATGCACTCCTAAATCCTCTAGTGTCTGTAAAATTTCTCTTTTTACCCGCTACATTTGGGTGTGTTTTGTCCTTGGGTGTTACTCAGTCCTTCTGTTGCTTCTTCCAGTATCTTTCCTGTCCAACTTTGAGAACTGGCAGCTGAATGTATTTTAAGACATGTGAAATTTCTTCAGGCATTTTAAAAGTTTTCTTAATTTTATCAAGAAACAGGGGAAAACGCTTCTCAAATCGAATGCCTGTGGTTATTTAGAAAAGCGTTTAGAGCCTTTAGAAATTCAAGATGTACTGTACTACATTTTACACCCTCAAATCTCCCTTCTCTTCCCCTACCATTCCATCTCTGTATAATAAAAAAGCAATTACTTTTCCATTGATGGGGTTACTTATTTTGCCTTATTTACCTGCTTTTATTTTCTGCTGCTCTGCCATTACTCTTAAAAGAATTTGTTAATGAGTAGCTTTGGGCTTTCAGCATACCTTTATTTAGTGACTTATTATCTACTTGTACTTCAGGATAGGTAAATATTTGGAAAGAAACTTGCTGAGGTCTAGTGAATGGCATCCTAGACCAGTGGTTCTCAACCTTTTTAATGCCGCGACCCCCCCCCAACCAGTCATAAGTCGAGGACTACTCAACCGGTCGTAAGTCGAGGACTACTCAACTGGTGCAGCACCGTTTGCAGACTGGAGCTTTTGGCGGGCTCAGCAGGGCAGAGACAGCCTGGATTATTCCTATTGGCTTTTGAAAGCCAATAGAATTAGACTCTATTCAAGAGAGTCTATTCTGCTGGCTTTCAAAAGCCAATAGAATAAAAGGGAGTAGCACAGATAAGGAAAAGGGGAAAAAAATGGTGGATTGCGTTGTTTGGTGACCCCCATGAAATGGTCGTTCGACCCCAAATGGGGTCCTGACCCACAGGTTGAGAACCACTGCCCTAGACATATTGAAAAATTAGATCAGCAATCTTGCATACATTGAAAGATATGGTACAATAACAACTGCCAGCTCCTTCAGAACTCTGGGATGCAATCTGTCAGAACCTTATACAGAATAACAGAGTTGGAAGGGCCCTTATAGGTCATCTAGTCCATCTAGGTCATCCTGCTCAAGGAGACCCTATGCCATTTCTGACGAGTGGGTGTTCATTTTTATCAACCAAGTGGTCAAGCCAGAAGCACGTATCTTGAGTTGGCAACAAAACACATTAAGTCAAAACCAGTTTGCTTCTTTGTGATGTAACAGGTTGTGTGGCTTGTAAAGCACAATTCATGCTTTCTGTAACTCTTCCAGTTACTTAACTACCTATTCTCAGGACAAAACACATTTCTCCGACACTTTCCTTGAGAATTCCCCCCCCCCCCCCGAAGCTATAATTGGAGCAAGAATTCTTGCAGATCAGGAGAACGAAAAAGCTTATTTGGGCAGAGCCATATTATTTGTAGATAGGGAAAACTGCCATGCATGTGAGAATCTCTAAGGATTTTAATGCCTCCCACGTTTAACCTCAGGCCCATCTGCAGTCTTAAATTTGTCACTGAAATGACAAAAAGTCAAAATTTTAAGGGTGAGCAACCCGATACTTTCCAAATGTTTTAAACCAAATACCCCCGACTATCTCAATATGGGCCATGTTTGTGGATTCTGACAGGACTCAGCATCTGAAGGCAAGAAGTTAGCCGATTCTGCCATTACCATAATTGATAGAATTAGTGATATCTGGACATTAGAGTGAAAAGCGGGGGGGGCAAGCAGGTCTTTTGATAGAATGGCTCTAAGGCAGTGATGGCAAACCTTTCTAAGCATCAGGCTAGAAACCAGGAGACCGAATCTTAGCCATGAAAGCCAGCTAGCTGACTTGGGCTAATCCTCTCTCTCAGCCCGACTTAACCTCACAGGGTTGCTGTTGGGGGGGGGGGAATAGGAGGAAGGAGGAGTATTAGGTATGTTCGCCGCCTTGAGTTGTTTATAAAAAAAAAAAATAAAGGCGGGATATAAATAAATGACACAGGTGTCACGGATGACACACCAGGCTTCCAGACCCTCTGCAAATCATGTGAGACGGTCTTGCTCTCATGCAGCCTCTGAAGCATCTAAAAACCTTGTAAGTCTTTTCATGCAACTTCCAAATGGTCCGGAGAGGCCCTGTGTGTGTGTGTGTGTGTGTGTGTGTGTGTGTATCAGTATTACATGCCAACAGTCAAGGTAGGCATTTTCCGAATTTTAGATACACCGAGCCCAAAAGGCTCACCATCCTTGCTCTAAGGCAGAGGTAGGGAACTATGGCCCCTTTATGATTTGTGGACTTCAACTCCCAGAATTTCTGAGCCTGCCATGGGAGTTGAAGTCCACAAGTCATAAAAGGGCCATAGTTCCCTACCTCTGCCCTAAGGTACGGCATTCAGTACATTAGAGTTTCTGCAAAGACTTCTCTGGTTCAGCATGCTAATGACAACAAACGTTCCCAGGAAACAGAGAGTATCAATGATGGCTATCTGATATTTGATCCCAGTCAAAAGCCCCATTAGATTGTGGAAGGCTTTTATATTTTATGTTTATATAATATAATTGCTAGATCTGTCTTTGTCATTAACATTTGCTTAGCAATCAGAGCCACATAAAGTCATGACCACAACTGCATTTCATGGCAAAGGATTCTTAATACAGCGTCCTGCGTTTGGAAGAGAAAAAAAAAAAAAATCCCAAGCCAACTTCAAAATGAATTGAAGCACCACATTAGTACAGTGTATTAAAATACATACATTTTTAATATAAAGACAAACTTCAAAGCCATTTTTCTTTCATTTACAAATCAAAGTGAAGTGTGGGAAGATTCAAAGAGAAGATTAGAATGGAAATTCTAGAACTGGAAAGATCAGAAGAGTGGAAAATATATAGATAAGCTTATTATTACATACATATATATACACATGCCAGAATTTTTCATGGGACTTTTATGGAAGAATGGCAGATAAAACTTAAGGAGCAAAAGTTTAAAAAACAAGACGAGACAAAGATACAGTGGACTAGGATTATCCTATCTGGACTGCAAGGCTCTGGACAGCCACTAGAGGGCAGCAAGGAGATTTCTGCATCTTTGCCATCATCTGGTTCTTTGCAGCTCAGACCTCTGTAGTCCTACCACAGCGGAAAATTTGATTTTTAAATAAATGTCATGTTCATGGGCTAATGTATACAAATCAATTCCTAGACCCTAGGAAAAAAAACATCCCATATTGCCACCTTTTAAGAAAATGGATACTCTCTTCAATCCATTTTACAAATGGATTTTATATAATTTTTTTTTACTATTTTACAAATGAATTCCTGAGCAGCAGCAATTTCCATTACTGACTGAAGTTCCCCTTCAACTCCAACACAGACTTCCGTTCCATTCTGCAGAGAATATATCCAAAAGGCTCAAAAATGCAAAACGCTGACACGAGTCACCAGACTAGGCTTGTCTTACCCATCTTTTTTTTCCTCTTTTTTTTTAAAAACAAGAAAAGAAAAAAACCCTAGAAAGTTAAAAGTTAGCAAGGGTAATCTTTGAATACCTGCAGCATGACCTAGGTGAGGGTGGGGGTGGGGTAGGAGAGAAGCATGTGGGAGAAAATAAATTAAAAATTGAAAATCCCCCCCCCCTATTAAGTTTCTGAAATTTGCAGGGGACCATACTTCAGCTTGAACCAGGCATTTGAAAAGGCTGCCACCCTGGAATCCAGAGAGTCCCCCTAAACTTGGGTTACTCTCCCCATATCCCCAAATTATTTACTGGATATTATAAACTGCAACTCTTGTGAACTTCGGGCAAGATTTTTAAAAGATCTCCCTGGATATTAAGGATCCACACAAGCTAATTTGGAAACTTTGGGGATGAAATCTTAAATGTTTAACCTCCTGCATGAAAAAGACCAGATCAGATTCCTCGGTGAAAGTTCTGCTCCATCATCTGTAGGTCCCTGCAATAGATAATATCTCTCGGGAGAACACACGCCATTCCCTCAGTTCTCTTAACTGCCAAACAATTATGTCCCTCAAATGCAAGTTTCTCTGATTTTTGCTGCTGTGATAGCACACATGAATTTACACAACATCCCCTCCCCAAACGTTCCAATTTCATCCCATTGCGGACAATTATTTCATTCGCTGATTTTGGGCTCTGAGCATAAATTTAAAAAAAAATGCTTACATATCAGGCCAAAGAGAAGATGCAAGGTAGTCAAGATATTTCAAGGCAGACGAAGGGAAGCAAAAGACATGAAACGGTTATACGTATTTCAAGACTGCACGCTTCCCAGTACACAGATGAAAGAGGTGCCATCAAGACACTCAGCACTGATAAAGCCACATTTCATTAATCAATCCAGGACAAGAACCTTACACAAGAACAAACAACAAACAAGATTATCTATAACAGTGACAGATTGGCTGTACCTGTTCTTGGAAGAAACTAAGAAGAAACATGGATAAGACAGATCCCAGGCTGGCCTGAGAAAGCACCCAGATTAATAGCACCATAACCTCTGTTGAAATGGGGTTGGGCTGAATGTTTGCACTTGTTCTCCTGAAAATGTAACTGCGGGAAATACAGGCAGTGATTTTCTAATCAGCTTAAAATTAATTTTCTGTGCATTTATAGGTTGAAAAATACTTAGCAGGTAAGATCTGGTTTCCTTCTTTAGCTGCATGCAGGATGCAGCTGAGATTGGATACATGCAGGAATAATACCCACAAAACTCAGCAAGCACTGAAGTGCCTAGGAAGGAATATGGCTAGTTCACTCCACTTAAACATCCCAGCTGACCCAGAAATGTTCCAAGGAGTTCTTAGCCATTAATTTTCTTCTCAGCCAGGACAAACTCCACGTCGAAAAGGGCACAAGTTTTATTTCCCGATACCCAGTAGTGCAAAGAACTGATTGGAGTACCACAGAGCAGGGGTTCTCAACCTTGGCAACTTTAAGACTTGTGGACTTCAACTCCCAGAATTCCTCAGCCAGCTTAGCTTAGCTGGCTGAGGAATTCTGGGAGTTGAAGTCCACAAGTCTTAAAGTTGCCAAGGTTGAGAACCCCTGCCATAGAGATTGCTCTCGGCCTCAGAAATAGTGAGATAATCAAGTGCTCAGCCACGTAGCTGGAGAGAACGTTTCACAACAGTGAGGCTTCATCAATCCAACTTCTGGCATTATGCATTTTTTACACCTGAACAGCACCAACAAGAAATTAAATGCTCATCGTGGAATAAGGCAGACTGCTTGGGGGAGATAGATAGCTTCATAGCCCCCTCTTCTGGAATCTTGCTCGTCCAAAGACAAACATTTACGTAATAGGTGCTCTATTAAAATCAATTTCATTGAAATGTGTATTTAGATCAGCGCACCCATTATTTTTTTAAAAAAATTAACCATATGCTGTGTTATTCTGTAGCTCAAATATATTCTGAACAGGTTCCTAATCCATGGCCCCTTATTTAAACTTTTCAGGGGAAGGCAACAGAACAACAAAATTGGGGATTTATTAGGCTTTCTAAGATAGATAGGGGACGAAAAATAGAAAAAAAAAACAGATAAGATGCCGCCACACACACTTCTGGAGCTTGCCCTTGCAACCACAACACAGAGAGAATTGAGAAGGGGGGGGGGATTTTAAAGAATGCAGGGGAATATGCTATACGTGCTTCAAGTTATACTGTAACTCTTATATCAAGTATGAAAAATCCTTTCCTCTCCTTTATAGCCAGCCAGAACGCAACAGCCCTCTTGTGCAATGTTTTTCAAATTCAGCTACTTTAAGACACATGGACTTCAACTCCCAGAATTCCCCAGCCAGCCTTGAAGTCTTCCCCATCTTACACTTACAAGTTGCTGAGATGGACAAAGACTGGAACTCCATGTTCCTGTGCCTTAAAATCCAGGGACTCAAATAACGTCATCATTTCCTAATCATCTTCCTTTCCTCAAGGCAGGGCAAGCTAGGAAAAATAGCCATCCCGCTATTACAGTGTTTCTCAACCTTGACAATTTTAAGGCATGTGGACTTCAACTCCCAGAATTCCACAGCCAGCATTGCTGGCTGTGGAATTCTGGGAGTTGAAGTCCACATGCCTTAAAATTGTCAAGGTTGAGAAACACTGTGCTATTATGTCTGTGCTATTCCCACTCAGAGAAGGATAGAATATTAAATTGGCAACTTTTAAAGAATGTCTGAAGCTGTTGAACACGGGGGCTGGAGGACCTAATACAATTTATATATCTGAAGGTTATCCTCTCCATGTGTATATTGACAGTTCTTCATATACCCTATATAGGGTAACATATAGAAAATAGAAGCTGATACACCTGTCACTTGTTTCAGGACAGATATGAAACCAATTACAGGACCGCTGTAGAATGCAAAAGCTAACTTCATGGGAGTTCCCAACACACTTTTAAATAGCACAAAGCATGAAAAAGAGCTTAAGAGACAGAGAATGCTCTGCAGACACTTTTGGCTCACATTCCTCCTCTTCTCTAGATGCCAATTTGCAGCTCGGTGTCTGCATTGGGAGTGACATCTGCCAATAAAGGACAAAAATACCTAATTCCTAATGGAAGACAAGAGACTGTAGAGGAGGAGGCTGCATAAAACCCTAGAGAAGAAATGATTCCTTTCAAACCTAATGAAAAACGGAGCAGAAGTTAAATGACAATGCAGAATTATTTTAGCAAGAGAGAGAGAGAGAGAGTCAAGATTCTGGCACTATCGGGAAGAAAACCTGGGAGTATTTCCTCAAAAAAAGTCCTTAACAAATAATGAGCTGCTTCCTCACCTTCCTTTCTATCAGGTGAGAGTGAGCAGATTTCAGGGTATAGCCAGGGGTCTTCAAACTTGGCCCTGTTATGACTTGAGGACTTCAACTCCCAGAATTCCTCAGCCAGGCACGCGTGCCTGGCTGAGGAATTCTGGGAGTTGAAGTCCACAAGTCATAAAAGGGCCAAGTTTGAAGACCCCTGATATAAGCTCTGATAACTCCACACCTATGAAAAACTTGGGTGCAGGTTATTTGTCTTTTAGAAGAATTGTCCCAAAGGTACTTTTTCAAAAGACAACTGGACTTTGTTTTTCCTGGAAGACGTTTCGCTTCTCCTCCCAAGAAGCTTCTTCAGTTCTGGATGAGAGAACTGAAGAAGCTTTTGGGATGAGAAGCGAAACGTTTTTAAATATCATCATCAGAAAGCTCATCTTTCTTTCTAAAGCAGTGTTTCTCAACCTTGACAATTTTAAGGCGTGTGGACTTCAACTCCCAGAATCCCACAGCCAGCATTGCTGGCTGTGGGATTCTGGGAGTTGAAGTCCACACGCCTTAAAATTGTCAAGGTTGAGAAACGCTGTTCTAAAGCATTTTTCCCACCCAGCCTGATTTCCTTCACCTGCTCTCACAATTTCATTCAACTTTGGTGAGGCTTGCTGAGATTAAGAGAAGCAGTAGTCTAAAATAGCCAGAAGGTTATGCATTGTGGGACCAAAAAGGCAAAAATGGAATTACTGTAGAGTTATCCAGAGCTTTAAGCCTGCGTGCATGTATTTTCTAAAGTTGAAAAAGGTATGGGGGTTTTTAATATGATCAACTCATTCTCACTGAATGGGAACACGGACATATTTTTAACCTTCCTCTTCATACAACTCGTACTTCAACTTGTGATTCTTGCTCCTTTATGTTCCAAGGGTTTACACCAAAGTTTCCCTTCCCTTTCACACTTGCTTTTACATGCTTGAAAAAAATTAAACCAGACTTTATATCCCTCTTCCTATTTTACTATGAACAGTCTGATACAAAAATAAATGAGAAGTCACTGTCACTTTCTACAAAATATTTGTTGCTTTTCCCAAACCGTGTGCCTTATATTTTCCTCCGTAAACTGATAAGTCCCAAATCACAGATTTGATTTTTTTTTCCCTTAAAAAATATACTCAGCGTAATGATAAAAATTAACTTTTGAGTGTTGTGGTTTGCTTCCTCTCATGTGAAAGTAAACAATATTAAAAGCTTCATTAAAAGCAAATGCCATATATATCAAAACCAGCACGTGTTCAATTTGATAAAACAAAACCCAAGGCTGCTTCTCAATCAAGTATTAAAATCTTGCTAATTAAAAAAATACACTGTACTTCAAACAAATCAACTCCGCAGAGGAACCTGAGGACAGCCTCTTCTTGACACAAGATTCAGCTGCCTGGACTTCTCAAGTTTGACAGAGAAACAGTCAGACCAACATCAAAGGACATATATGCCTTTGTAAAATGTAGGCAACTCCCTCTAAACGAGGGAGGTGGTTACAGAGAAGATAAAGCGGGATAGGAATCTTCTCTTCCTATCTAGCTCCTGGATAAGTTCCTAAGAGATCTGCAAATGCATAAGCTCACCAGGTATTCCCAAGGGGAAGGTGTAAAAGGCAAACTAGCTGGTTGGATGATCTTATAAATTAATTTTCACACAATATGAACCCCAGAAAATGCAACGCCAAAACCCCTAAACCAGGGGTTCTCAACCTTGGCAACTTTAAGATTTGTGGACTTCAACTCCCAGAAAAGCTGGCTGAGGAATTCTGGGAATTGAAGTCCACAAGTCTTAAAGTTGCCAAGGTTGAGAACCCCTGCGACCTAAACAAAGAGGGAGAGAAAGAGAAAATATTCCTAATTACCAGCCAAGAACCCAATGGCCCTCTGGATGATGGCAAATCACATCATCCTTGACCAACAGCCAGCTGGGACTGATGAAGGCTGGGATCTAATGACAAGACAAGACAAAAAAAAAAACCCGATCTGGAAAACAAAACGCAGAAGCTAGTCTACTCACAGCTTCACAGAGTCAGCCTGCATGGCAACTACGAGACTTGACAAGTCAACAACCTGATTCTGATACTTGATTGCCCAAAGTAAACCAACCACCTGGAATGGCAAGGATCATTTGAATAAACCACCCATATTCATAAAAGATACGATTTCTTTTCATCGGTGACTCAGCCCCTCCAATTTTTAATGCAACCCTTTGGCTTTCACACAATTAAGGCAGAGTACCCCCTTCCAAACAACCACTGCATGTCTGAACACTGGTGGAGAGCCCAACATGAGCACCGCAGCTGAATTCCACCAGGAGAGACTAAAGAAGGAAGTGAGGGTGGGAGAGAGACAGCTGATCGTGGCTTGCAATATAAATTACATCAATGTCGGAATCATTAAAAAATAAAGTTTTCAAAAGAGCTATCCCCCCCTCCCTTCTCCCACATCCATTGCTTTCTTGATTTCAGTATAAAAACTAGCCAGTTGGCATGTGTCCAATGGTAGCAGGAGGAATAAAAGAAGCCAGGTGATGTACAGAAATCACAAAATGTCATGTTGATCATCCCCACCAGGCTAAAAATTGAAAAAAAAAAAAAAAAAAGCACCATGAGTACAGAACTGGAGAGGCACCTTTTGTCAGATGTCAATAGCACCAAGAGAAGCTCTGTTACATCTCTGCTGATGTGCCAGTCTTTTTATTTCAGAGAAAATGGTGGTTTTGTTGTTAAAGTTTCCTTCCTCTTTTTTTTTTTTTCCTTTCAGTTCTACAACTTTAGGTGGAACAAAAACGTTGTCGAGGGGCGCCTGTGTTTTAAACATTTAAAAATATATAAATATCTACTCTATCCAACAGTACAAACTGGAAGCTGTTTCTAAGCATTTTCTTCTGCAGTCTGAATATATATTTAACTTAAGATTCACAGTAGCATTTTCTTTCCTCTGGTTTTATGTTTATGACTTAGGTTTGAGTCCAGTAGTAAAAGAGAAGTTGGGTGGGTGGGTGGGGGGAAACCCTTAAGCCATTGAGGCCAGCACCTTCAGTGGGAGCTGAGAGAAGTTGGTCCATGTTGTCCTTGCATAGGTCACATCAGGTTGAGGTAGAAGTCCTAGTTACCTGCAAAAGAGGAAGGGGGGAAAGAAAGGGAAGGACAAGATTGAACTTTAGGTAGGCAAATTAAACAAGAGCCCCAAAGGTTAACGATGACTTTTTTTTTACATTAAATAATTCTTTCCAGACTGCCAAACAACAGGGTAAGAGGTCTAAAGTAAAGTTCTCAGCAAACAGGCAAGATGGACTTAGAACTTTCTACTGTTTTTGCACTGTACTGTCGACACGCATAAAGGTTGATGGGAATGAAGAGCAAATTTATCAAGACTTCCTGCTGACTGACTGCTTCCAATGATTTAACAATACTTGTAACAAAAAGGCTCCCTGACTACCTCCAACAAGCTGAATAAACCTCAAAGAATTCCTGATCTGAGCTAAATAAAATGTCTATTAGAATTTACAAAACATCCCAGATAAAGCTCATTGGTTACTATATAATGAAGTTGCACAATGTTTTTATCTATTTATTTATTGGATAGCGAGGCTGCCCAACTGCAAATAGACTCTGGGAGGCTTACAACATTTAAATCCACACATGATTCAACTGGAGTTGGGCAGCCCCTAAATTCCATCAAATCATAAATAAATGAATTAAAGAATTAAAGAAACATGACATAAACTACATTCAGGGGGAA